GTTTTCACTAAAAATACAAAATTAGCCAGGCGTGTGGTGCATACCTATAACTCCAGCTACTCAGGAGACTGAGGCAGGAGAAATGTTTGAACCCGGGAGGCGGAGTTGCAGTGAGCTGATATTGTACCATTGCGCTCCAGCCTAGGCAACAGAGGGAGACTCAGTCTCAAAAATAAAATAAAATAAAATAAAATATAAAATAGAGAAATAGAAAATTGGACAAAAATTATGTACTAATAACATAAACAATCAGGTTATAAAAAATGGAAATAGTCAAAATGTTCAACAATAATGGAAAAGTAAACTGTGGTTATGCATACTATGGAATATCATTTCACTATTAAAAATGTGTGTTAATAAAATAGGGAAATCCCCATGCCACAGTGTTAGATGAAACAAAAAGGATATAAAATTAACATAACCTGATTCTTGTTTTGTAAAAAGAAAGACATATTCCTATGTATGTAAAAACAATCCTAAGTTAATAAAAATTAAAGTTATTATGCACTTGCAGAGATAAGAAAAATAATGGAAAAATACATTAGAATTGTAATCATAGTTACCTCTTTCTATAGAGATAAACAAAAAAGAATCAGAAATAAATACATCAAAATTAAATCAAAGGTCATTGTAACTTATTTTTGCATGTTTCTCTGTTTTCCAATGTTGCCGTAGTGAGCAACGTATCTATTAATATGTATTTGGTTGCTGCTCAACTCAACTAACTTAAAAACAAAGGAAATATATTGGGTTTTAGCTCCCAATTTCTGGGATAAACTTTGCCTCAAGAGTGGCTAAAAACAGAGGCTCAGTAGAGTTTATCAGAAATCTGTTTCTCTTCTCCTAAGATGCACTTTCTGGGTTGACTCCTCACAAAGGCTCTCCATTGAGACTTGCAGTTCTAGGGGCTGTGTATTTCCAGAATCAAGGCCACATGCATAGCAAAATTCCTAAGATACATTCTGAGGGGTCTGCCTTGAGTCATGGGCTCAAAATGAACCAAGTGTATGGCAGGGGAATGCTAGGCATTAATTCACTTCCATCAAGCATTATGTTCTCCCCCGTGGACCTCCACCCAGGCCAAGTTTAATAAACATTAGGGAGAGACATATTTCCAAATAAATATCCAAGCTATTTTCGAGGACAGCTGTAAACACACATGCTCCATACAAATACACACTATTTCTTTAATTAAGAAATAGATTTAGGCCGGGCGTGGTGGCTCACACCTGTATTCCCTGCACTTTGTAAGGCAGGTAGACAGATGGCTTGAGGCCAGGAGTTCCAGACCAGCCTGGGCAACATAGAAAGATGGACTTCACCTCTACAAAAAAAAAATTAAAAACAATTAGCCAGGCATAGAGGTGCACCTGTAGTCCCAGCTACCCAGAGGCTGAGGCTCAGAGGCTGAGGTGGGGGGATCCTTTGAACCCAGGAGTTTGAGGATGCAGTGAGTTAGCATCGCACTCCTGCACTCCAAAAGATAAAATGAAAGAAATAGATTTAACTTAATTCTTTTCAAAACCAGTGCTCCTACTCCTCCCCATTAACCCCTAATCCGTTCTTCTTTCTCACCAGTGACATTTATTCATCTGTCAACATCCTCACATGGATAGAACTGCTCAGTTTTCCAATGGCAAATGGAAATGGCTCATACACTTTAGGACTGCAAGTGATACTTCTCATGAATATTTAGAAAGAGAGACAAGGTGAAAATAATGTTTCCTCTTAGAATTCAAAGTAAAACTTTGACTGACTGAAATAAAAACTGCTTTTATCAATACCTCACTTTTTTTTTTTTCTTCAACTGATAGGTTAGGCCACTTATACAAAATGATTCTATTATATCAAATTATTGTTTTGAAGCATCATTAGAGAGACAGAGAGAGAGACAAAGAGAGGGAGAATGACTCCAGGCTGTTAGTTTTATCTTGCCTAATACTACTCAGCTCTGTGACAATTTCGTATTGTAACTTTTACTGGGTTGAATGTTGGAAATTATTTCAAATATATTCTCCTAACTTATTCAATATCTGTACATTTTTCAGTAGTAAGAACTTTTAAAATGAAATGTGAATGTTTAAGCCTTCCTTCAGTTATCTAGGTGAGTGATTTTGATGAGTACAAGCTTACTCTGCCCCATGCAGGTAATTTATTCTTGAAAAATCACTTGTTAAGTGAATTCTCATAAGTGAAAAACATCACTACCATTAACTTTTATGAACATGGATTTATGCTAAGACAACACCAAAGCCCATTAAAGTTGGCTCAATTACTTCAACAGACATATTAGTTAAACAACCTAACAAAGTCTTTTCTCTTTATTAATTATGCCATAATATTGCTATTCACCTACTCTCATTAAGTTCTTGTGGCGCTATTATGCAATACATATTAAAGATTATTCTTACAAATAAAACATGTTGAATACTCAATGGTATATAGTTCAATCTTTATTGCAGAACAACCACAACAGAAAGACCAGAAATCTCACTGAAAACAAGAACAAGTTATTTCACACTGACCAAATAACTTGACATCCTCAGGGCATCAGATGATCTCTGCTGTAAACCACAAAACTCTAGGCCACTGAGGCAATGTAACCCATTGCAGTCCATTAAGAACTGTGAGCAAGGCTGCACGGTGCTACTGGTCTGTCCAGGTTCAGCTGCCTGTGTGAAATCCAAAATCCAAATCTGTCCTCAGCAATGCTAAGAAATGTCTCACAAGCCCAAGTTGGGGTATAGAACACAACCAGGAAAAAAATCAAAGTCATGTCATTCTACTTGATATCACATACCCAATTCCTCAATCTGAGTCTTAGCTTGTTTATATGATAATCACACTAAACGATTAATATCCTGTGTGCCTTTGGAAACAGTATCTTTTAAAGGTTTCATTTGCCTCAACTAGTTGAAGATATTTGTTTTCAGTGACTCAACAGAGAATCTCAGTTTCCCACCCTATTCCAGAACCATCACCCTATCTGAGGAATTCGTCAAACTTGAATGGCTGTGTGGGTGACTGCGTGGCAGCTGCCAAAAGTATTGTTGCCCCAAACACCTACCTTCATTACAACCAATGACAGAAAACAACTGTGTTCTAGGGATCTTTTATGTCATCTGTGTCTTCCCGTTTATTTCTTCATAACTGTAAGTTGGTTGTCAATTCTTTGTCTGGATTTATTTCTAAGGATAGTATCCTGAGAAAACACAGCCCAAGGACAAAGAACAACTCCAAAATTACAGGATGACCAACAACACCTGAATCTTTTTTCTCTTTTAAAAGAATCTTATGAACACAGGAAATGAGCTTTAGCCTTTATTTTTGCCTTGTCTTGAGAGACATTCAATAAGGAACTGAAAATGAAGTACGCTTCAAACTTTAAAGGCAATGATGAAATGGAAAGAAGAGGGTCCTTCAAAACTGTAGAAGCAACTTCAGCCAGACTAATACTATTTCAAAGAAATGGGCCATAATAGCATCAACCGCTCCATGTTTTGTTCATTCCATCTACAGTACATCAACAGGCTTTTTCCAAAAGTGTATGGACAAAATACTTGAGTTGAGATCTGTAGCCTGAACCTAGATGGTATCTATATGTTGTCATGGTAATTCACAGGGCGCCATCTTTAAAAGCATTGAACTCAGGAAAAATACACACTGAGAAATTTTTGCCCTAAAAGCTGTTTCCCAAAATTATCCATTATCCTACGTATCTTTGTCTGCTTAGAGCCTTGCTGTAATTTTTATTTTCATTCCAAAGCTCAAGAAACACTGAAACAAGTGAAAAATTTGTTGAAGTCCTTTATTATAGAATTTTCATAAGTTTTATGCTAGCTTTTAAACTGATGAACATTGCTCCTCTACCCCACAAATGTTTTTTCCTTTATACTGACTTTTTATTTTATTTTATTTTATTTTTTTAAGACAGAGTCTCACTCTGTTGCCCAGGCTAAAGTGCAGTGGTGCAATCTCGGCTCACTGCAAGCTCCGCCTCCCGGGTTCACGCCATTCTCCTGTCTCAGCCTCCCGAGTAGCTGGGACTACAGACGCCCGCCACCACACCCGGCTAATTTTTTTTTTTTTTTTTTTATTTTTTGGTAGAGACAGGGTTCACTGTGTTAGCCAGGATAGTCTTGATCTCTGACCTTGTGATCTGCCCACCTTGGCCTCCCAAAGTGCTGGGATTACAGGCGTGAGCCACTGCACTCGGCCCTATACTGACTTTTTAAATGTAAACATTCCCCTTTTATCCATAGACACAATTTTTATTCTTATTCTCTTTATATTGGTCTGTAGCCAATGTTAAGGTGAAGGGCTTCTCCCTTACTTTGAAACTCCAAGATCCGGCTGTCAATCCATGTGCCAATATTTTGGAGAAATAATGACCTTCCCTCCTCCCTTATAGCACTTATTTTTGCATGTCAGTCATGTAGGACTTAGAAAATTAAACCCTGGATCTTCCTTCATCTTCTCATTACCATCCACTCCCTTTCAGCTCTATCATAGACTATTAGAAGACAGTGAGGGTGCCTTATGACTTTTCATAGCTCTAGAATTAGCAGTACTCCACACACAGGGGCACAATAAATATTTTATGACATAGAACCCAAATTTAAAGATAAATGGACTTTGGAAATGATCAAATCTACTCCATTTTTGTAAATGAAGAAAGAGAAACAAGGAGAGATAAAGTATCCAGCCCAGGGTCATGTCCAATTAAAAACATTATTTTGAGGTCAGGAAAGAGGATGTCAGTCCCTTTTCTGCTAGTAGTACCTGGCAAAGAAGTAAAACAGAGATTCTGCGTTCACAAAACCAAGTAGCTAATAGCCATTCCTGGTTTACATACCACATTAGATAGGTTGTTGTTTTGAGGTTCAAATTAACCAATATGCTGTACCTGAGAGAGTGTGTTAAGTATCATCCAAATATAAAGTATTATTAACAGGAAGGGTTTTTTTTTTTTTTTTTTAAAGCCCACGGGAAAAGCTGAATGGAAAAAATAAAAGAAATAAAAAATGTATTGGTAATAGTGAACATTGTCTTGTTTTGACTTACAGGCAATATCACACCAGAAAAATGGCTGCATTTGGAAAATGAATAGCTGGAGAAAATTCTAATGAATAAGCCCAAGGCCTCCAGAAATGAGGATGGAAATAACCAGCATAAGGTAATGGCTAATCAGACATCTAGCCTAGACACAGGGTATTACAGTTCAGATTCTCTTCCTTCTCTGAATTTCTTTGTAGTTAAGCTTTCATGGGAAACTCTGGCTGGGGAGAGTCCATGTGTGTATGTGCCAGGAAGATCCTTGTGTTCTATCAGTTCATCTGTGTCCGCAGCAGAGGCAACGAAAGGAAATGACCAAAGGGACAGCAATACAGGCAATTAGGGATGAACCTAATACAATATGCGTGGTGACTACATTGATTTGTGTGTGTGTGTGTGATTTAAATTCCTGATATAGTTATTAAAAAGGAAATTGACTAATAACAGCTTATAGGTATTCAAGATCCTCACAAATTACAAAGCTTACATTTTTCCAGTGAATACGCTCTACACGGCTCAGAGGTTAGAACAGGTGTTCTCATTCCTATTTACTGATGAGCCTTGGACTAGTCAGGTGATTTGTACAAAGTTAAATGCCAGGGAGCTCTGATTCCAAATTCAGGGCCTAGAGATTTTAGAGGAAGGCTATGCTTTGCTTTACTTTTTTGTGGTTGCTTAAGACTACACTGTCACTTACCTGCAAGGTGTTTCATGAAGAATGGGCAAGTAGGAAGGACAGTAAAATAGCTATTTTTATGAACCAGGCCAATAGGAAGTGGCTCGAATGGCTTTTTGTTTTGAAATGATAATTGGATGCAAAGGAACAATACCATATGTTGGTCCTTCTATGACCTTAAAAAATCATACCTACATTCGGTGGAGAGTTCTGCAAAGGAGATAAGGGAAGAAAAGAAGATAGAAAGAAGAAAGAGAAGAAAGGAAGGAAGCGAAGAAGGAAGGAAGGAAGGAAGAAAGAAAAAGAAAGAAAGAAGGAAGGAAGGAAGGAAGGAGGCAAGGAAGGAAGGAAGGAAGAGAAAAGAAAACATATCATGTTTTGGCACTGTAGCACTGTACTAAAGCATTATCTTCTTTAATCCTCAAAACAAAACTATTAGGTGAATATGATAACTTCCTTCTTATTAATGAAGAAATTGAAACTTCAAGTAGTTAAATTCATCTCAGATTGAGACTTCAGCCAGATATTGTCTGCCTACAAAGGCTATGTTTTAGTTGTTTTAATGTCGAACATATATTGTCCCCTGGTAGGAAGCAGAGAGGCAAACAATGAACATCTTAACAGATCAAGAAGCTGAGAATGTTCAAGGGGCACATTACTACTTCATCGTGCGGAAGAAAAAACAGTCCTCATTCCAGAATGGCCTTCAGATAAGAGAAATGAAGGTTCATTCTAAGACCCCCAGCCTTTGTCCCTGCCTGCATTGATAGAGAGGGGTCTTTTCAATGGCCAACTTGCAAACAATGGGATATTTCAGGTAGTAGTCAAAAAGCCTGGGATTCAGTGGGGTTTCCTGTGTTGGCATGGCTGGCTCAGAGTCTGGATCTGGAAAAGGAGTTTTAATCCGTTTCTACAGGGGAGAGATACTCGGTGTATCCATGCTTCTTGAGGCTACATCTCTCCTCAGAAGATCTGACTCATACAACTAACTGCCTCCATGAACTCTTCACACACATGTATCAAAGGAATCTCAACAATGTTATGTCCAAAATCAATTCCATGACCTTCTCAAAACACCTGATTCTCTTCCCGTGTTCCCCTTCTCAATGAATGGAAGTACATCGTCCCATACTCACAAGCCAGAGATGCAGAATTCATAACTGGTAACTTATTTTTCCTCACTCATGTCAAATGCATCATCGAGGCCATTTTTCTTCTTCTTTCTCTGCACCACAACCCTCTTGATCCAAGCAATCTCCATCTCCCACCTAGACTCTGGCCTTCTCAATGTTCTACCTATATCCATTCTCAAAGCCAAGGAAGGTCAAGTGATACCTCAGCTTAAAGCTCTTCCTCCACTGTCCATTGCTCTCTGTAAAATGCATAACTGCTTCACGAGGTGTAAAAGGCCCTACTTTGTCACTACCTTCCCCCAACACAAACCTTCAACCTCATCTGCACCATGCCACATGGGTCTCTCCATTTGCCTCCTACCCCTTAAACGTCTATCTCACGGATTTTCCACAAGCTATTTCTTCTACAAAGATGATCTTCTGTCCCTCCTATGACTTGTCAACACCTAGTTATTCTTCAAATCTCAATGGTCCCTTCCCTGACTTCCTTAGCTAAATCAAATACCCTTATTACGGGCTTTCTTAACACTGTGTAGCTATTTGCCAGTCCCAATTAAATACAGGAATACCTCTGAGATACTACAGTTCAGTTCCAGATAACTGAAATAAAGCAAGTATTATAATAAAGTGAGTCACACACATTTTTTGGTTTTCTAGCTCATGTAAGAGTTGTGTTTACACTATTCTGTAGTCTACAAAGTGTGCAATAGCATTATGACTAACAAAAAACAATTTACATATAATTTTAAAAGACTTCATTGCTTAAAAATACTAACAATTGTCTAAGCCTTTAGTAAGGGTTTTGTTTCGTTTTGTTTTTTACTTGTAGAGGGTCTTGCCTAAATTTTGATGGCTACTGATGGATCAGTGTGGTAGGTGCTGAAGGCTGAGGTGGCCATGGCTAATTCTTAAAATAAGGCAACAGTGAAGTTGGCTATATCGATTGACTCTTCCTTTCATTAAAACTTTCTCTGTAGTATGTGATGCTGTTTGATAGCATTTTACCCACAGTAGAAATTCTTTCAAGGTTAGAGTCAGTCTTTTCCAACCCTGCTGCTGCTTTATCAATTAAATTTATAGTCATATTCAAAATCCTTTATTGTCATTTCAACAATGCTCATGGCATCATCACCAGGAGTAGATTTCATTTTAAGAAACCACTTTTTTTCGCTCTTCCATAGAGGCAATTCTTCATCCATTAAAGTTTTATTGTGAGATTGTGGTAATTCAGTCACAACTTCAAGCTCCACTTCTAATTCTATTTCTCTTGCAATTTCCACCACAACTGTAGTTACTTGCTCCATAATTCTTCCAGTAGAAGGCTGTTCCATCCACATTGAAAATCTGTTGTATAGTGTAGCCATCATCGTCAACTATCTTGGCTAAATGCTCTGGATAAGGTGCTGCAGCTTCTCCATCAACCCTTGCTGCTTCACCTTGCACTTTTTTCGTTTGGAGACGGCTTCTTTCCATAAACCTCGTGAGCCAAACTCTGCTGGTTTCAGACTTCTCTTTTGTAGCCTCTTCACCTTTATCAGCCTTCAAAGAATTGAAGAGAGTCAAACCCTTGCTCTAGATTAGGCTTTGGCTTAAATGAATGTTGTGGCTGGTTTGATCATCTGTCTAGACCACTAAAACTTCCTTCACATCAGCAATAAAGCTGCTTCACTTTTTTTAAAATCCATATTTCATAGGAGTGGCACTTTTAATTTCCTCTGCATTCACAACTTAGCTGTTTGGTGCAAGTGTCCTAGCTTTTTGCCAATCTTGGGCTCAACGTGCCTTTCTCACTAAGTTTAATAAGTTTTCACTTTTGATTTAAAGTGAGATACTTGAAACTCTTTCTTTCACTGGAAGACCTAGAGATCATTTTAAGGTTTTTAATTGACCTAATTTTAATATGATTGTGTCTCAGGGAATAGGGAGGTCTGAGGTGACAAAGAGAGATGAGAGAATGACTGGTCAGTGGACGAGCCTGAACATACACATTTATTAATTTCACTATCTTACATGAGTTCAGTTTCTGGCACCCCAAAACAATTACAATAATAACATCAAAGAGTACTATACACATATCACCATAACAAATATAAAATTAATGAAAAAGTTTGAAATATTGTGAGAATTACCAAAATGTGACACAGAGACACAAAGGGAGTACATGCTGTGGAAAAATGACACCAATCAACTTGCTCAATGCACAACTGCCACAAATCTTCAATATGTAAAAGATTTCATATCTGCAAAGTGCAACAAAAATGAAGCACAACAAAACAAGGTGTGCTTGTATTTATGTGTGTGTCCATTAGGTCAACATCTGTCTCCCCAACTAACTGATAAGCTACATGATGGTAGAGTCTGTGTCAACAATGTTCACCATTATAACCCAAACATCTATTTGGTCCCTGGCCTATTGGGTGCTTGATAAATATTTCTTTAATATCTAACTAACTATCAACCAACCAACTGAATGACTGAGTGAATGAATAAATGAATGAAAGAAAGCATCCTATTCATTGATGTGTTAATTTTCTGTGTCTTGCTAGAATTCTAAAATATTAGAATCTTTATGTGGAGGCAAGCCTTGGCTCAAGTCCTTCCTCACCACTCATCTTCTCATTGAGACCTACCCCTAACCATACTATTTAATGCTGCAGTCTCTTCATACCCCACCCACCAGCACTCCCTAAGACCCATGTCTACCTCTATTTTTTTCATTTGCCCCACCTCATAACACACTAGAGAATTGCTTATTTATCATTGTTCTAACTATGCTTTCTTAGTTTCCATATTTGTCTATTTGGCTTCCAGTCGCAGATCCAATTGTATTTACCATATTTTCTTATTTTCCATATTCTTGATGCTGTGGCATTTGCAGCCTTGCTAACTGGGGAAAGACTGTGCCTACCAGGGCTAATCGATTTTTAGAAATAGCAAAGGGCTATCCAGATACTGCCTTCATAGGTAAACCAGCCATTCCAAATTCCTAACAATCTCCTTCATCAAACTCACACACCAATCCAAAATTCTCCTTGCTCTAAATCAACATGTACCAGACAATAAGGAAGAAACCCTTTGCCCCAAAACCCACCAGAATCATTTGTATTAACTAATCCTAAAGCAATTCTGCATTCCAGAATGTCTTGCCTTTCTCACAAAAAAACACAATAAAAACAGTAACTTTGCCACTCCTTTCTGCCTTGTGCTCCACACCAGTGCTTCCCAATGTGGCCCTCCATGGTGTGACATGCACTCTCCTCTTGAAGGGCCACATTTTTTAAATCTTTGGAGACAGAGTTACAGTCTGTCAGC